ACGTTACATAGAAAATTCAAGAAATAATGCGATTTACTATGAAATTTTAATATATAAAAATAAAATCGTAAGCCAAATATATGCGGAGTGACGAAAAATGTATGATAAATTATATAAGATTCATGTCTCAACTTCTCAAAATTCGGTGTATTTTTAATAAATGACAACACCGCGATGCATTCTTCCATATAAAATGCATTTCTTACGGATTTTTGACGCTGCCAACCCAAAATGGAACGGGAAACAGAACACAGAAAGCTGGGTGTACCTATACATATCCCCAAACCATCGCTTTTCAATATTCATTTAGTTAGTTTTATATTACTGCTCTACTACGCTTCGTAACGATGCTTTATTTCATCCATGGCTTACAGTAACATAACTATAAAGATTGGTTGATTTATTGTTTCACATAGGTACCCGCTACCGCTATACAAACTTATATTTTTATATTCTTCTTGCTAGCGTGACATCAGTACAAAAACCTCAACTGAGAATATTAGATACATTACAGGAAGTGAAAGCCTTCACTTCTTTTAATTAAAAACAAAGCTCCTGGAATGTCCGAGATGTGTTTTTTTGTCTGAGATTCAAGGATTCGTTCTCTGGGCGTGGGTTTTTTACCTATTTTAAGATTATGTTGTTTTTAGTTTGTTTTCTCATCTAAAGAGCGCCAGATATTTTTGGACCATTTAACGATTTCTTATCAGACGACCGTAGAAAACACAATAAAACTGTAGCAAAAGTAAGTCACATGAGAGGATACTAATAGGATGTGCAAAAGAAAGTTAACGATAATGAAACAGGAACACTGCTGTCACAAAATTTTAACTATTTATACCAACTGACATAAAGTTCATTCTTCAAATGAAAAAACTACTTTATTTTAAAAGATTACAACTTGCAGTATTTTTTTAAAATAAATTTTTAAAAAGACCTATTTTGTGAAATCTTATTGAGTCCATTCCGAACCCCTCCAAATTTCTAAAATGGTCACTAACCTTGGTCCCTTAATAAAGACGGATATTGTTTTGATAAAATTACTACGCATTGTTTTCTTTTCAATTGCGAAATTTGAAAGATTATATCAGCAATAAATATTAAGAATTTATGTAGCAAGTATATTTAGGAACTAAAAACGAAAATTAGGAATAGAATTTAATTAATAAAAATAGAATGATAAGTTAATCAAATAACATGCTCAAAATTAAGATGAAGGCCACGTAAATTTGAACAAAAATGTGAATATATAAAATCGAAAAATGAAAGAAAATAAAATTCCCAGAAGACACTATTTCCTCATACAATAAGAATTTCAAGAGACTCTCCATAAACAATGAAATAAAAACCGTTCTTTCTTCCAAATAGGCATTAACAACCATTTGCTTCAATTCTAGACAAATTAGTTGACCTTTCGGCATACGAGGTGTGGTGTACGAATCCGCTTTGAGTTTTTTCCATAACCTAATTTCTATGTGACATTCTTGAAATTGCTTGTTTATACATCGGAAGAAAGCTTGTTATTACTGCTGAGAGGCCATTTTTTCCCGTTGCTTTAAATATCTTTTATTTTGTCCGTACTTGTGCAATTTGTATAATAACTTGCGATTTTGCGCAGGGGCTGCGAGGGTGTTATTATGCCGTCGGTTTTTACTTTATAGAGGTTACCACAAAACAAACATAGGAAAATCTAATTTTATCATTTTTCAAAAATGCGAGGTAACTTCTGTCGAAATAAATTTCTCCCAATCAATCAATAATAATAATTGAAACTGTTGCTTTACTTTTGTCGCTTTATCACTAACGCTTTTATACTAACAATAAAATTGAACGCAGGGGTTTTTATTGCTTTGATGACAGCAGCCTACTATAACGTTTTAAAATTGATTACGTTTACATAAGTTATTAATTAGTGTGCCAAAAAATTTCAAAATATGAATATTTGCATAAAAGTTGCTTTACTTTTGTCCAATAGTGACAATATTAATGATGAAAACAGTATGGGGATGGCAGTACGGTGGAAAATGTGAGGAAAACGATAATATTTACAACGGAATGCTTGAAGGAATTTCATTCTTCACAGTTATAAATTAACAGAGAAACGGTCTCCAATGACAAAGGTGAAAATATTTTCATTTTTTGATTTCTTTCTCATAAAAAGAAACCTTTGTAGAGAATAAATAATTCTAACAAAATCTTTAAAAGCAATAGATTTTTTACAATACTAACATTAGTTACAATGTAAATTCCGTTAGTATTAGTAATAACGAATAGAACGATTTGTAGACTGAGCAATTCCATTGTAAACGTATTTATTCACCTATTCACCATGATACAGAGAGTTACTGTAGACTGAAATGTAGTTTCATTGCCCATTAAGTTAACATAGACCCCGGCAAAACAATGTGCTTTCTGTCACTTCCATTATAAGAACTGCAAGCATTATTCAACTGCCTAAAACACAATTCCGCTCATTCGTAACAAATTATATACAGTAGATTTAAACGGTAAATACAAACGCCGTTATTGCCTTTACGTTGAAATTATCGCAAATTTTGGGTCTTTACGAGCTATTTAAGAGAACGCTTTCACGCACTTAAATTAGAGAGATAGCAGCATCGTCAACAGGCCTCGTCCGTAAAGCCACTCATTTGTGATGCCTACAAGTTAGTGGTCTTTTGGGTCCAAGATGGTCTCGTTTCGAGCACGCAGACACTTTTTCTTGCATAAGTTAGTTGCTCCCTGGTGAACTGTCTTGCTCTGTATGTTCGAGTTAGCTGGATTTTATGTATGTGATTAACCTGTTTACTTTTACGATGCGAAGGAATATCTTTTTTGTGGCAGTTGTTAATGATGAAAATTGTAGGGTGTTTTTAATTCTGTTTGTAGATCCATTTTTATCATAATGAATTCCTCCTCTATTTCCATTTTCATTTCCTTGCTCATTATTAATTCAGGCGGAGTAATTTGTTACTATTTGATTCCTCCCATGTTTGGCACTTCCTTCATTTCCGTTGCTGTTTTTACTTGATTTTATCGACATTCCTTTAACACCATGATTCCATTATTACCAATTTAATAAAACTGTATATACATACTTATCAAATGCAACAAAGTCTTTTCACGTAAAAATTTAAAGACTGAGGGTAAAGAACTGATTAGCCTTCTATGTGCGTCGTTCTGGTGTGCTGGTTTTTTAATGGAACCAGTATGTTAACTTAAGTTTAGAGCTGTCTAGTTCAACCTTTGCAGACAACAAAATTCGACTTGATCTTTAAACTGACATAATATTGGACATAATATTAATAATAAAGCCTGTCTGACGATATATCTTAAAATTTTGTACCTACTATTCAAAACTAATCCTTTTAAAAAAAATCGCAATTCCAAAACATCGGAATTATCCATTTTATGACACTTTTAAATGCTATTTTTAGATAACTTTCCAAAACAATATTACGAGTGTTTTTAAAACCCTAATTGAAAAATACAATACAATACAATACAATACAAAAACATAAGGTTCAAAATTAAGAAGAGAACAATTTGGCGGCATTTTTCAGTAAAGCAGAGAAGGCACTACAATTAGTGGAATATAAAACTTCTAATAACATACCTACTCTGCGTAACTGTTCTTGCCATTCGTCGTATTTTTGTTCGTAAAGACTTTGTTGCGTTTGGTGGGTTACTTCATCATTTATACAGGAAAAAATCGCTTGATAATAAAAATATTATCAAAATTGGAACACCAACAACAAGAGTTCTTTAATAAGTTCCTTGGCTTGCTGCTGCACCAATGAATAAAACGAATTTCTGTAATAGCCATGTGAGTGTGTAACAGTTCTCATAAAAGCCATCATCACTTACTCTTTCAATTTTTGCTTTTGAGGTCAACAAACATATTTGTTGACAATAAAACTAACTACCATTCGCAAAAGCAATAGAAAAAAATGATGGCCTAATCCGCAATTAATTTTTATAACGTCACAGAATGTGAAAAATACCAGTAGAGCATCTGTTGCGATATAAATAGTGCGAAGTTAGTTATTTACGATACCGTTGGGATTAAGTTGGATCTTAAATTATATTTTAAATATTGTTATTCTTGAAAGCTTTCCCAACGAACTATAAATTTGCAAGGATTAGTCGAGATCTGACTGAGGCAGGTTAAGTAAACATTGTGCGCACAAAATTTATTAAATTAGTCACACAGTTTTATTAAAATGTCCGTTATAAAATAGGAGATTCAATTAGTTGATTGTATCAAGTCGTAAAAATGCTTTAAACTTACTACTAATTAAATCTGTAAATATCAGTTTAAATTTAACACGTTGTAAAACTCCAAAGATTTTGGATTGAACATCGTAAATACCTGTACGAAATGTCGACAGTTATTTTGGTTATAAATATCGTGTGGGATTTATTGATCCTGATTTTGTCAAAATTAGCATTGAGATTGGGAAAATTCTACAGGATGCAAGTTGTGATAGAATATTAAGTTATACGTTATAGCCAACGCATAAAATGTGGCAACGGATTCGTTCAAGACGTAATAACTTCTCCATTTTATCGCACCGGATGTTCTCTGAAACACCAAATTTTGCACATGATTAAAGCTTAAAGTTAAACTCATAATTCAACAAGAATTTGGTTGAACTCCTTTCACTCACATTATTTATTTTCGTAGGTAAGCAAGTAATTTCCTTTCTCCTAAGTACGTGTATCCGTCAATATAACCTAATAGAACGATAAGTAAATAGTCAATAAAAGTAAAATGTTTACGAGCTTTCCCAGCTGAAATTGATCGGCAGTTCATACCAAACCGATTTATCATTCGGAAGGCTACACATTTTACATATTCAAATTTAGGCACACTTATAAAAACGTCAACACCTCTTTTCCAATGAAAACATTAATTTTTCGCGGCTTTATTGCGTAAAGGGCGCCCGCGCAAATATTTACCTTTCGCAGGGAAATTTCAAGTGTTCGTTTTGTTACAGGACCCTTTCGGAAAACAAACTGGAATTCATCCACCCTAAATCATTTGCGAAGAACATCCAGCTAAAAAGATTGTAAGTATTTTGCATTATTTACAGGGCAAAGTCCTGACGTAAATCTGGGACGTCCTCTGTTCCATTTACGTGTTCGCTACACGATAAGGATTCGTTTTTAACCCCTTCAACGTGCACAGAGTCATCTAGATGCGCTTGGCTGGAAGCCATTTCGTTTATATGATCCAATAGACTCCTTATTTATTGTGATAAGCCGCGCGAAGTGGCTTCTGTATGAACCTTTGATTTATGCACAATCTGCACAAGAACCTCGCTGCTGTTTGTCCGCAGGAATCAGTGGGCGGAGTTGACAAAGCTCGCTGAGCTTTCGAATTACGTGCATCCGACACGTGTTAGTGGACTTCTTTTTACGGAAGGGTCAGCGGATCCGCTCTGACTGCATCAATATTACCCATTTCCCATTTTATTTTATGGAGATAGCGATTTGGGTGTCTAGCTAATGCAACAAACTAAAATATGGAAAAACTTGGCTTTTGTACACATGAAACCGCCTTGATATTCTATAAATTCAAATCAAAAACGTGCCAAAGAAAAACATCGAAAACGTATAGGGAGGCTAATCTGACTGTACTAGTATTATTCTGTGTAAATGTTATCGTTTTTAATAATAAATAGTGGTTATACTACTGTTCCCTGAAAGCAAGTTAGTAGCAAAAAGGAGCTTACAGTTATTGCTTCACTGTCTAGTGTAGTACAACTGTTATTATCCCATTGACTATAATTCCGTCGGTATATTTTCAATTTCTTCCACAAGCGTAAAAATTACTTTTGTTCTCGATATCGGAGAGGGTGTTTAAACATGATTTATTCATTTTTCACACATGGAATGAAGTCAGAGTCGAAATCAGTTTAGTCAGTTCATAAACAATCGTATGTTAGATTTCTATGGATTTAATCTTATTATTCACAGGATTAGATCACGGCTATTACAGCGCTTGCTCGAAAGCTCTTCAGTTAGCTCTTGTATCGGGAACAGTTTAATATTTCAGTTATTTACACAGAGAGAAAAATTTGCAGTTTACGAGTACAACGGATAACAATAAAAAAATATTACTCTTATTACGATGAACCAACAAACAATACTTGTTATTACAAATTTTCAAACTAGGACAACACGTATTTTTAATATTCCCAGCATAAGTAAAAATTTTTATTTTTGACTAATCACAGTACCTATTTCCACCGCTATGACAACCATCTAATGATGATATAATAAAAACTTTATTTTTTAAATCAGTAATGAGGAACACAAAAAGAAAACACGTATTTCACGATTTTTTCTTCCCGAACGTAAGCCAAGGAAATACCTGTTGTAAACAACTCCATCGGGCAACTAGTTAATTTTTTGTTTCTCGACGTTTCATGACCCCCAGGGTACGAACATATTAGGTCTCCCGTTTCCATCTGTCTGTCTGCCGTATGTCCGTATATGTGTCGATTTTTATTGGACAGATAATATTCTAAACTACCCGACCGATTGTTATCAAATTTTGTATATGTATTAAGAATATCATGTAGATGGTAAAACGCTAACAAATATTTGTCTGACCAAGCCCACGAGCAATAGTATGACATCATTTCCAACATTTACAATAGGAAATGTTATTTAAATTTTATAAAATAACGTATATACCCCCACTTGTAATTTATGAATCCATCTTGAGTTATTAGCCTAGACATGCAGAATAAAAAAAAACATTTTTTGTAATTTAACTTTGAAACCGCAAAACCCAATGCTCTGAAATTTTACAAAGGTTTTACGATTATCGTAATCATAGTAAATCGTTAATTAAAATGTATCTCTTTATCCCCTCATTGAAGACGTTAACTCAAAGTTTTGCCGAATAAATCTAATCATTCGTATTTTTACTTCCCGAGCGTAAGCAAAGGAAGTATTGTAATCGAGTCCATCGGCCGACTCTCTACTTTTGCATTTTCTCGACCTATCATGACCCCTAGAGTCCGTCTGTCTGTCCGTCTGTCTGTCCATCTGTCTGTCCGTCTGTCTGTCCGTCTGTCTGTCCATCTGTCTGTCCGTCTGTCTGCCGTCCCGGATTTATATTTGATAGATAATCTCCGAAAGTATTGGGCCGATTGTTCTCAAATTTTGTATTTATATTAGGTAAATCATGTAGATGGTAAAACGCTAACCAAAATTTGTCTAATCATCCCCACCAGTAATGTCATGACGTCACTTCAAAATTGTACATAGTAAATGGGTTTTAAATTGTATCAAATACGAGTAACATAGTCTTACACATGTAGTTTATGACTCCGAATTGAGATTTTACCCGAAATGTCCAGATTTTTGGAAAAAAAATCAAAATTAGGAAACAATATTTTGACATTTAATTAGGAATCTGCAAAACCGAATGCTTTGAAATCTTGCAGATGGTTACAGTTATGATAGGCATGATAAGTTCTTATTCAAAATATATTTACTTGTCCCCTCCAAAAAATTGATGACGTCCACTGAAAAGTTTGCCGAATAAATCTTATCATATTTTTTGGATTTGCATATACAGGGTGACTTAAAAGATAAATGAATGCGTAAATTTATTTTATTGATTTAATCAGGAACTACAAAACCAAATGCTTTGAAATCTTGGAGATGTTTTAAGGTTATCATAGGAATGGGAAATTTTTGATCAAAATATATTTGCTCATCCCTCCCTAAAAAATTGATCACGCCACGCCAAAATTTTCTTAAATGTGCCTTGTGCAAAGTATGATAAGTCTATAATTGATAATTTATCAATTTATTTTATTGATTAAATCAAGAATTGCAAAACTGAATACTTTGAAATCTTGTCGTTTTGAAGTTATTGTAAGCATGGTAAGTTTTTAATGAAAATGTATCTGTTTATCAGCCCCAAAAAATTGATTACGGCATCTCAAAATTTTGCCGCATAAATTCTTTCGCAAATGTGCAAAATATGAACAGACTTTTAATCATTGCATTCATATTGTTTAGATTTACTTAAACAGGTGACTCAAACAAATTTATAAATAAGTCAATTAAAATTTTCTGGAAAATGTGGGAATACGCTCGTCTTTATAACAATAAAATAATGATAAGGTAAGAATTATAATAATAACATTCAGAATATTTTGATCAATGGAGGCATATGAATAATTTTAGTCATCTGTTTTGGGGCAATAAACTCATTCAAATCAAACAAACGTCTACGTGACATTCTTCCGATGTAATGTATTCCCGTTGATAATGTGCTGCAAATAAATTTTTTGCACTCATTACCTTTTTTGCTGACCTTAGCGCATTCAACAGCATGCGGGACGTCGAACGTCACACACGGTAGCCTAGCCCGGAAACGTTAAATTGCTAAATGTTTACGACGTCGTTGTTTATAAACAAAGCTGGGCGGTCGAAATTTATTCATCCTATCTACCCGTCTGAAGTGCGGCAGGTGCATCCTTGTCTTACTCGCTTCTGGATTTCCAATTATGCATCATTTTTAATAATTTACAGAAATAGTTTTATTTTCAGCGAGACCGACACTTGAAAATTATTAAAAATATTATTATTATTATTATGTCGTGGATATGGATTTTAAAATCATCAACTGACGTTCAGTAACGTTAGTTTTCTCATAATTTTCTTCACGATGCGTAACATCGGTTGCGAGCCACTGGTCTGCCGTGGTCCATACGCAGCGCATAAATTTCAACCGCCTGGCCCTATTTTTTTAGTATTACACTACATCTATCCAAACTGATATACGTGTCCATGCCAAAATTTTTTAAAATGCTCCGCTACAAAAATGTAATGAGAAAAGAAACATAATAGGCATGCCGTCGTCACGTTTCCGACACCGAGGGAAGTACTGTCTAAACTCTTTAGACCAATTTTTTAAGGTAAACTATATTTTCAATAAATTTTCACATATGTACAATTGAGTAATTGTAGAATTGTAGAAGTTATACATTTTGTTCTACTTTTTTTTTTAGTAGCAAATCACATGTACACACTGTGAATATAACAAGCCGAGACTTTTGTTTTCATTCTGCAGCTACACACTAGTACCTAAAAATTCTAGTTTTTGTAGAACTGAATTGGGCAATAAGATGATTTCCATGCACTTTCGCTCACAATTTCTGATAATCAAAAATCTTGCAAGATATATCTTGTCTCTTCCTTAAAGAATGCAACAGCGGCCATTCTGAATGTTATAAAAATATATAGAGCCGTAGATAAACCAAACGGTATGCAAAAATATTTGTTTTCGGTACAGAAAACGTAAAACTTGCTTATATATTTTGATCTACATGATCATAAGAAGGTTGAATTTTGTATTTAGACCAAATACAAAGTTTTAAACATAAATGGCACTACAATGTGTACATTTTCCGATTTTGAGATTAGGTAGTTTCAAAATTGTGTTTAGCCTTTGTAGACTCACAAGGTGAACTATTTGGCTTACACTAGAAAAAGAGTTTAGCACTCGACAATTCTAATCGCCTTTACTAACGGCATTTTATAACCTCTGAGTCAGGCAACACAATGTTTTTGTGTGTGCTGCGAAGCTACTCCATTTTACAATACTTCACCTGCAGTCTCTTTCTGAAAAATTACCACCCCCTAACTGTCTCATCTTCGTGCTATGAGCCTCGGCTTTCTTGTTTCAGGGATTCCATCTAGCTGAGGCTTGACCCCAGCGGCTCCCTCCTTCTTGTTATTTGAAAAAACAGAAACTGTAACTTCTGTCCCAAAAGTTTTGGTAGTTTTAACTTGGCGGAAAACGCTTCACTTTAATTCATACGAATAAGTACTCCTGAGGCGATAATTGCAAAAAAAGCTTCTACCTGCTCCAATAAGTGAATTGCTAACTGCAGAAAGGGGACATGTCCCATTTTTTACCACAATAACATTCGTACATAATCGTGTTCTAGAGGTCTAAACACATCTTTACTGCAAAAACGGGTCATGTTTAATGATTTAGCTCGGGGCTACAAGAGGATGAAATTTACGGTTACAGCAG